AAGTACAAAAACAAAAGTGTTGCGTTTATATTTTTTGTTCAGTGTATATATATATATATATATATATATATATATAATATGCTGTCAGATCAAGGTTAATGTTTTGGGATATTTCTCACCTAAAAATAAACCAATCACTTTGTGTGGAACAGACACCATACTGAGATCCTTTCAACCTTGACAAAGGCATACCAGATCCACTCCTTCCTTTCTTACCTTTCACAATAAAATCCTTAGACATTACACTGCGTATCTATTAAACAATAGGACCTTCAATTCCCTCAGAGTATCTCTTTAGTGTTTTTTTTATACTGAGCTGTTTGGAATAGTGGCTACAGTATAAAGCCATTTTGACACGTTATTGCCAACTTTTTGTAGTCATAAATATCTCGTTATTACAGCTAAGAGACCAGTGATAAAATGTTTCACTTTGCTGGTCATATTTACGATCGAATATCACATAAACATGGCTAAAGATTATAACGTTTATAAGGCAATATTATGTTATGTTTCAGGAGTGCAATGGCCATCGGGTCTCAGCATCCGTTCCTCGAGTCCTGGTGGGTAACAAGTGTGACCTTGTGGACCAAATACAGGTGGGTGTACTTAAGAAAAGACAACGTTTATATAAGACAACTTTATTTTATCTTTGTAGTTTGAATTAGGGTTTTCAATCAAACATTTGTGCTTTCTCAGGTGCCCTCCAACACAGCGTTGAAGTTCGCCGACTCCCACAACATGTTGCTGTTCGAGACGTCGGCCAAGGACCCGAAGGAGAGTCAGAACGTCGACTCTATCTTCATGGCGCTGGCCTGCAGGCTCAAGGCTCAGAAATCCCTGCTCTACAGAGACGTGGAGAGAGAGGATGGGAGAGTCCGACTCACACAACAGACTGAAACAAAGAGTAATTGTCCTTGTTGAGGAAAAAGAGGAGTGGGAGGCATAATGGAAGGGGAGGATAGAAAGAGTAACTGTACATGTGAAGGGAGAGGAGGAGAGGGATGATGGGGAGAGTGAGGCTAAAACAAGAGTCTTTCAAATTAAGTGCAACTTTTCTGGTATTGAATGGAGGGTTGACTCTAAGAGAAATGTGTTTCAAGGAAGAGGCGGACAGGTGGGAAGTGGCAACGCTCATGTATATTAAGGATGAGGATGGTGAGGATTGATTAACAATTCAGAAGACGATGTTGCCTTTTAGACTACAGCATAGTGTAGATATTCTTCCATTTATTCAAACAAAGACAGAAACTGAGTAAATGTGCTTTCAGCTAGCAGAGTGCACAGGCAAACACATCACAAGGGATGAGTCATTAGGGGATCTACAACAAACGGTGTTGATATAAGGCTGTTGTTTCCTAAACCAGCCCTGGTTTGGTGTTTATGACCGCCATTACCAACACAGTCTTATTTTTGCCTTACTCATATTGATATTTATCCACATCGTAGCTGAAAGCAGAATGTCCCCGCTGTTTTTTACTGCCTTAAAAAGCTGCCTCTGTCAGATTAAGAACTCAGTCAGGCAAAAGTAGCATAGAGGATTCACGTATTTTAACCACTCTTATGTAGAAATATCAACAATTTCCGAACATAAATGAGATGGTTTTTCCTCTCAGAATGTTAGTGTATCTAGGTAAATCATTCAAAGTTGACTTAAAATCACTGTGAGAACACAAATACATGGCAAAAATGGGAAAACACAAAGTTAATGTGGAAAAAATATGGGGTGAGAAAAGTCCAAGTGAGCCCAAAGTACCGGAAGATCTTGACAACAAGGTTTCCAGATCAGCTAGAGGTTGTCAGGCAGCTTGTCACATATTGATTTATAGGCTGTAAGATCCTTTTACCCGTATGCAGGAGAAATGCACTCTACTACAAAGAATGGCCCTCAAGGCCAGGCTCTTTTTTTCTTCTAATCCTGATGTAAACATATTCCCGCTCTATGCTAACCCTCTGGCACTGTGGCTTATCAAGCTTTTACTTTGTGTGCAAAATACACTCAGTCTTTGCCGTGTGTAACATCAAGATAGCCAGTCAGCAATTCCATATTCTTTAATGAACGACGTCTGTTTGACTAAAGGCCTTTCTGTCCGTTTTTGATGGACCACATCAATATCACTGCCTCCAGTCTCAGAGAGGACAGGGAACATGATAGATCCCTGTATACATAGTGGATTGACTTATACTGCTACAGTTCCTGAACCTGGATGTACGGTACGAGTGAACCTTTAAGCCTGTTGTCTGTATAAGGGATTAAGTCCTGGAGTATCCGAGTCATGGATGATACAGGCCACATGAAACACTGCAGAAAGCCATATTTATTATTTATTGTACAGTACTGTTTAGTAAAGCAACACACTTGTCATATCTAACCCTACTTTAACACTGTAGCCTACTTTTGCAATCCTATTGATATATGTGGATGCCATATGTTAACAATTCAGATCAGTGAGCATTTCCGACAGGGTTTCCCTCCAAGCTGATGATCTAATTATTACATCCGATTGAGTTATTTAAACACTGCACATCGAGGTAAAATCCTTCTTGGTATTGTCTGAGCTGTATCAGGTTTTTCTTTTTGCCTTTTTATAAAACAGATAAACAGGAAAGGGGGAGAGAGGAGGGACGACATTGACTAATCAAAGAGCCGTTGGTCAGATTTAATCCTGGGCAGCTATTAAAGACTCAAATTTAGTACATGGCTCTATTGGGGGAGCCACTCTTGTGCCCCAGCTGTATCAGGTTGTCGATTGTTTTTTTTGTCTGACATTTTGCAGTTTCAAACATGTTTGATTGCCATTAAAGATGAATAAATTGACATAACTGGAACAAACCAAAGTTCTATTTATTCTCATTGTATGTACATGCCGAGCCATGTGTTCACCAAAGCTAGGGAAAAACACAAATATTCCTTACCTTGGTGAAAGTCCTTGTTAGTTTTTTTAATTAAAAACACATTTGACTGGAATTGCAATTGACAATGCAGTTTTGTTGTATGGGTGGTATGACCAGGCTGTCATGGCACATTCGTAAGTGAGAGGTGGGTACACCCTACAAATGTTAATCTGTTATAAATATCTGTGGCTCTGTTTACCATTGAGTTAGCATAACCCGGCTAAGTTAGTCCCTGTTATACATTTGAGCCGTTTGTACAAGCCTGATTAGAAGAAAAAGATGAAAAAGAGAAGAATGTGCCTACATTTCCTGTCCAGATCTAAATTAAATCAAATTTGATCTGGTTTCAAATTATTCAAGAAGAACAATTAAGGTATTTTTAAGTTAGCCTTGTTATTAGCATTTATTACTGACTATAGTTATACATTTCACATAACCTCTCTCAATGTTGAGAATACAGATGCACTTTTGTTTGCTTGCCTTCAGATTTTCCTGTAAATATGCTTTATTTGTTGTATTTTGCTAGTGTTTTTTGGAGTTGATTTATATTTTTTTCCAACTGATTTTAGTTTTTAAAGTGATGCCTTCATATTTTGATATTTCGTATGTGGCCTATACATATCAGTATGAGCAATAGTTCCTTGTTAAAACAGGTAACAATGTCGTTATTAGTTGTCCAGGGTCCTATAGATTAGATTATTCGATCACTATAAAATAATCCACAAATATTTGATAATCAATCAAATGTTTAAGGATTTTCTAAGCAACAATGCCAAAACTGTTGTGGGACAAAACATCTGAATAATTCAACTTACCCTTCACAGAAAGAGTTCCATGGTTTCACTTTAGGTTAAAAACTGCAAAAAACTAAACAAAATGTTTGTTAATGTGTAATTGTGATGCTGAATTAATCAAAAATGAATCATAACAAGAAAATACATACTATATTCCTACTGTACATTAAAGCTGAATACTAGAATGAGACAAGAAGATACAACCAATAATATACCATTTAAAAATCCATCAAGACCAGCAAACTAAAAGGGTCAACATGCTAACTTAAGCCCCGGTTTTAAGTCTCATTCTTGCACCACTCTATTGACCTTTAGTAACATTGTCGTTATTGCATTCTCCCGAAGGCACTTCTGATAAAACTGCTGAAGAAGCCACATTTGACTCAGATTCATATTCCTTGGAAAACAGTACGATCATTCTACACTTTTTCTCTGGAACTTATGTCCACTTTTGAAATGATTTGCCCCCTAAGCATTAACATGATGAGGTTTTCAGTAACATGTCTGTTTTGGCCATGAGTCGTGACTAAGGTATTTATTGTTAAGAGCCTGTTTCCCTCCCACACAGGAACTTCAGATTTCATGTCTGTTTTTCCGTTCTCATCGTTTTTCTCTGTGTGCTATATCTTATTTCACATTTAATTTGTATGTTTTCTACTGCCCTTTCATTCTCTGTATCTTATAATAATAATAATAATAATAATACATTACATTTATAAAGCGCTTTTCCTGGTGCTCAAAGCGCTTATAGTCTATCCCTAGATATCTTTAAATGCCTGTCTCATATCTCACTGTCAGTGCTTCTACATTTCAGACCCATAATATTTTCTTATTCTCTGCTTCCATATATGACACTTTCTTCATCAGCCCATCACTACCTTTCCCACTCTCTCTCAAAACATGGCTCGCCTGTGTTCCTTTTGGCTGGTACATACATTTCTCAAGCAGATTGTGTGTCCATTAATAGTTGTAGCAGATGAGTGCTGCCGAATTTTGAGAAGAAAATGAAATCCTTTCATGTACTTGAGATCTTCCTTTTTGTACTTGGTACCAAGAAAACATTTCTGAGACAAACTGCATCTACAGATGTCTTCAAGCATGTCCTTTAGAAATGCTATCAATTCAAATTGTGTTGGTTTGTGCAACATATTATAAATTTATTAATGTTTAGATATTTAAAAAAGGCCTTTTGTGGTGGGGGACATGTTCTTGGCTTTGGTAATGTGGTAGAGTTAATATGAAAAGATTATGAAAAGTCCAAATGGAACATTTGAAAAGTGACTGTCCCGGTAAGTAAACTCAGTTAGGTTAAGTAAATCATAAGTCAAACATGAATCAGGTGTAAAACATAACACTCACAATCTTATGAACATAACATGTATGTCCTGGGTTGTAAAATACTGTGAGTTTTTGCTATTTGTTTTTCCAAAGTGATAGATAATTAGGTTGAGCAGCCAAATATCATGACAAAGGCATAGGGGGAAAAGTCAGGTTTTTTGTTGAAATACTCTAGTCGGCCACAAGAGGCTGAAGTGTACGCCTAAATCAGGTTTTAAATGGGATTTAACGCACTCGTGGTTTATTCCAGGGGAGTCTTTATTTATGTGAGCACTCCAAGCAAAAGGAACTTTATGTTGTTTGTAAGTAGGTTATGTAACATTACTGTCATGTCTTTCTTTTGGTTAGAAATGCATTTTAATCAGAGCTAGTCTGCTGTTCGAACTCAATTACTCAAATGAAATATCCTGGCATTACATTTTTTCCCTCCTGCTCATAAACAAAGGAGAAATTACAATGTACACCAGACTCAGAAAATGGATTACAATGTTTTCTCTCTTGCCCTTCAGGGCTTCCGTAAAATAAATATGTTTCCTCAGAATCAAGTATACTACTGTAGCTTTAATTTTTAACTCGTTTTGATTTGAGTTGAGGTGCAATACAGTATAAAGATAACTGCCATTTCATCTTCAGATTAATTTTCCGGAAATATAAAATATATATTTCTATTACTGAGACAATTGTAACCTATACAAAGAGTCTCTATGTGCCCTGAAAACTCTTTATTTAAAATGTATTATTTGTTACCTGTGGAGAGCAGCATAGGCTAAAAAGAGTGTAGCCATTCTCAGATTTCCGTAGAGGAAGAAGCGGAGACGTCACATGGGGAGAAGCAGTAGCTGCTCCACCACTAATCACATAACATTAACATAACTAGCTAGTACAAGCTAACACTGCCTGCTACACAATTCGCCTTTGATCTACCACACATCCGGAATTGCAAACTTGCACGAACCAAACGGAAGATTCGTAGACTGTGTAAAACGAGAAACACCACGACGGTCACATACAGTTATCGTGGCCTCTTTTTTGCATCTTTGCAGGCTATTTGGTTAGCTAGCAAAGCCACCGATAGCAAACTCTGCCTTGGCTAGCGTCAGGCTAGCCAGCTAGCTAGCTAGCTACTAACATCGGTAACGGTAGTTAGCTAGCTAGCGAGCTGTAGTAACTTGCGTCATGGAGGAACTAGTCGTGGAAGTGAGGGGAACAAGTGGGGCCTTTTATAAGGTAAGTTTGTGACTTTTTGCTTTATCATGTCATTAACACACCATGTATAAACCTGACGCTCGCTAACATGCAGCATTGTTGCCGGACTAACGTTAGCGGAGAGGTACCTGCTTGTATCCCCGGGCCTCAGTGCTTCTGTCCGGCGGAGGCTGAAACCTGTAAACAAAGCTAACGTGAAGATGCTGCCAGAACATCAATGCTGCTAGTTGAATATGTGTGTTATTGCTGTTGATGATAATGTTGCTAAACCAGTGTAATTGATACAGTATTAGTAATGTTGAGGCAATCTTGAGTTATATGTCAAGTGATGGGTAGCTGGTTGTTTGCAGAGACACAGGTGCCAAAAGATTTCTGTTTTTAATACTAACAGCGAGCTCAATTAACTCAGGGTAACAGCAAACATGGGGGTTGTTTTGCCTTCCCCCTATGCTCCCTTTATGGGAAAGTAGTTTTTTCTGTATAATAATAATAATAATAATAATACATTACATTTATAAAGCGGCTGGTAAGAGTTGTGATGTTATTCTGAAGGCAAGAGTCAACAAGTAACGTTTGATCAAGTTGGTAATTGGTTACGTTATAAAACAAACTATGGAAGAATCTGATCAGAGCTGGTATTTTTGCAAGGCTGTGCTGAGGGTTCTACTCATAGATCCCTGAGCAGATATACAGGGGATGATTTGATGAACAGTATCGGATAAAAGTCAGATTTTCTATGAGATCAACATTTTGTATTTTATGGGGGGGATTGTCTGCTTTATGAATGGTTGAACTGGGGATGGAGGAGAAAATAGGACAGCAAAAAGACATAAGGAAGGAAACTAAAATCTGATTTGAAAACCTGAAAATGAATTAAAAAAACAATAACCATAGCCTTTGAAAAAAATGTAGCATTGGTAAAAGACCAGAGTTGGTAAATATAAATAAAATGGCACCATCTCTTACCCGTTCCGTTTTAACAGCATTCCAACATATGCATAATAAAGGAAAACTCAAACTGTAGCTCTACCTGTTTGGTTGCAGAGAATTGTGATTGGTCTCATGTATTGAGACAGTAGATGCTTTGTTGCTGCCAGCCTTATGTAATGAATATGACTAGAATGAACGTGCAATACAACAATCCAAAGCATTTTTTTAAGTGTAATGACTCAGTGTTGAGTCGGCCTGCAAACATGGTACTGTAGCAATGTTCATTGTGGGTGCTGCATTCAATGCCAGCTGAATAGTTTGAAATGTAAAAGAAAATCTGCACCTTAAAACAAATACAGGGACATAAGCGTCTTTGGGTTCAAGAAAAGCGCTAAAGAAATATAATTTATTATTATTATTATTACAAATAAAAAAGTCCTTTCTCAAAAAGATGTCTATTTGTGAGTCCACTGGCTTTAAGACAAGTTAAATGTCTGCCGTGAATGGACTTTGCTCTGTTAGTTGGGTGTGGTACAATCTCTAATTTATGGCATGCAGTTTGAATATTGTTTTATTATTTGGCAGGTGCTCAAATGACAGCTCTGAAATGCAAAACCAATGTTCTAATGATTAGTTTAACAGCATCCACAGAATGTACTGTCTTCAATCCTCACTTCACATGAATGGCACTTTGCCAACTGCTCCACCTTTGCTGCTGTAGAGCTAGCCAGGTAATCAGTCTGAACTGCTATTTAGTTTGTACTTCATTCTACAGTGTTTGAGTTTCTGCAGAGAAACATTGCTGTGGGCTGTGATGCAAAGGTGCATTGAATACTAGTCAGTCTCTGAGTCTTTTCATTGAAATGCCAGCGGCTCTCTTGAAATAAGTGTAATACAGTTCATTGCATTATAGTTAGATAACAAGCTTGGACACCTGCTTCCTGTCCTCATCGTGTTCGGAAAAACTGCACATTACAAATAGCAGACTTCAAATGCATCACCTTGGACTGCACCTTGGCCCATAACAAAAAGAATAATAAAATGAAAACGCCTTTCTTTCTCTTAATGTCTGTAAATCCAGCACTTGAAGTAGATAAGCATATCATGCAATTTCTGGGTTGTACCCAAATTATTGATTTCACTTGATTGTAGGTCGCTTTGGTCAGAATGTAAGCCGACTTGTCCATAAAAAAGGCAAGTAATTGTGGTAGTTGTGGTAAGCAAATACTTACTATCCATATTGCAAAAAAAGTGCTGGTTGGTTTGCATTATTTACAGTTAAAAAATTAGAATATATTGAACTTGAAGCATTTTGAGTGGCCGCGCAAAATCATCAATGCGCTATGAAAATAGATGCCTGGTACATATGCTCTCTTCTCATTAGAAACTAGTGAAACAATACTATGTATGCTCTCTGTCTCATATTTATCCTCAAGTTTTTTTATATTTAGTTTGGTGTTGAATGTAGATATCTCCGAAGCACAATATTAAAAAAAAAACATGGTAATTTAAGTATGTATGTATGAGAACTTTTTTTTTTGAGCAAGACGATTCAAGTAGTCATAATCATGGAGTAGTTGTATACAGGCCTGGCCACAGGTACAGGAAGTCATTTCATGAAACTGCAACAGAAACGCTTTCTCTCAACCATTTCTGTTTTTGTGAAGCTCTCTTTTTGGAATGTTAAGCTTCATTTCATCCATCGCTGACTGTTAGCGTGGCAGGCTAAGCAACCCACAGACTAGGCTCTCCGTTCCTCTCTTTACCTTCTAGGCATTGCATGTCCTACTTGTAACACTTGACACACATGGAAACAGAATGAGTGTACAACCAGAGAGGGACAGAGCCAAACCTGAAACAAGCCAAAAGACAATCTTTTGGGCTGTTCCTCGCTAAAAGCTTTGGGTTTGGGTCAGGCATTGGGGGCAGAAGTGTAATGCTTTTACATGCTTGATGCCAGGATAAAGCTGTATTGTCCATGTATGCATACCCTGTGTATTCTAATTTGTAATCTCTAATCTTTTTTGATTCTTGCAGGCCTTTGTGAAGGATGTTCACGAAGGAGCGGTCACGGTGGCATTTGAAAACAAGTGAGTAATGCGCTTACACAACATAAAATAATATTCTGTAAAAAGGGAAATCTTTGCCAATGAATGCTGATTTGATGTACATGTCTGTCCCAGTTGGCAGCCAGAGCGCCAGATCCCGTTCCAGGATGTTCGTTTCCCTCCTCCAACAGGGCTCTGCAAGGATATCAATGAGAGCGATGAGGTCGAGGTGAGACTGATTAAATACTCTGAAATGTTGCTCTGTAGGCCAAACAGACTGTTAAGGCTCATGGGAGAGTGAGTGAGAGTGAGAGAGAGAGTGAGAGAGCGAGTGAGAGAGAGAGTGAGAGAGAGAGTGAGAGAGAGAGTGAGAGAGAGTGAGAGAGAGAGTGAGAGAGAGAGAGAGAGAGAGAGAGAGAGAGAGAGAGAGAGAGAGAGAGAGAGAGAGAGAGAGAGAGAGAGAGAGAGAGAGAGAGAGAGAGAGAGTGAGAGAGAGAGAGAGTGAGAGTGAGAGAGAGAGAGAGAGAGAGTGAGAGAGAGAGAGAGAGAGAGAGAGAGAGAGAGATGCTAATGGATATAAGGAGCTGTTTCAATGAAAACAGAGGCAGCCAGACACTGGGACACTGTACGAAAAGTCAGCACGGATAGTGCGCGCAACATGATTGCAGCGTCCAGGCAGCTCCCGTTCGAGCATATGCCTTGAGTTGCACATAGCTCCAACGATCCATCACAGTGTTTGTCTCTCCACACACACACACACACACACACACACACACACACTGTATTGTATGAGCCAGGTTCCAGGTTGAATTGAGGTGGATATTTGTAATGTTCAGAGGTTGTTATGTTTAATATTCATGAGAATATTTGTCATTGATCAAATGATAATAAACAAACAGTTGCATAAAGCATATTTGTCCACTCATATGTTGATAAGAGTATTAAACACTTGAAAAACATCCCTATAAAGGTACATTTTAGAACAGATAAAAAATACGAGATTAATTTGCGATTAACTATGGACAATCATGCGATTTAAATATTTTAATCCACTGACAGCCCTAATATTTTTATAACCTGTCAGCATGGGTGTGTTTCACTTCGGTTAAATGGATTCCTTGCGTCCCTCACTTGCGTCGTTTCCCTGCGACTAGTCCCTCCCACCAGGGAAGCATGGAGAGACGCAAGGAAACCATGAGAAGCAGGGAAATGAGTTTTAAGAGCAATGGGACGTCGTTTCCTCCGGAGCGTCACGTGAAGCGACGTCCGTTTGTGATGACACCGCACAGCTGAACGTCTGACAGCATCCAGATCAGTGCATGCGCTGCATCGTCCAATCAGTGAGCGATACACAGTAAGGGGGCGGGGCGAGTGTATCAGGATTTCACCGGAGGATGGTCTGGTAGTTCCTCGATTATGGCTCCTCTGTCCTCCGGCACAAATAAGGCCACTGGGACGCTACTCAAGATGGCGCCGACAAATCAACTTTGTTGTTGTGCCACTTTCTTGATTTTTATATTTAGTATGTTTTGCAAAGATTGAAAGAAACACAATTTATTGCTGTTTTTGTAATAATAATTTAAATATACATAATCTCAGGGTTGAGTATTCAAATTGAAAACTGATATCTAAATCTGAATACAGTTGAATGTTGAATAAGAAATGAGCTAGCTTCATTTGATCTTTTGATTTGTGTATTTGCTACCATTGTGCCAGATCATGCCTTTCATTTTGATCATCTTTGGTTGGCAAATAAGTGGGAAAGCTTGTGAAATGTACTGTGTGTGTTTCCAGGTGTATTCCAGGGCTAACGACAAGGAGCCATGTGGATGGTGGCTGGCCAAGGTTCGCATGGTCAAAGGAGAGGTAAGGCTCAGTCTTTCTAAGACGGTTGATTTTTTTCCCATTCTGCTTTTCAAAATGTTCAAATATAGATTTGACATAATCCTTGTCTCCATATATCTCTAGTTTTACGTAATAGAGTACGCTGCATGCGACGCGACACTAAATGAGATTGTGACGCTGGAGCGGTTACGGCCAGTCAACCCGAATAAACCAGCCACCAAATCCACCTTCATCAAGATCAGACTGGATGTTCCTGAGGATCTACGGCAGATGTAAGTTCATATAATAAATAGTAATAATTGTACATTTCATTTATACAGCACACTTTAAAAACAACGTCATCTCAAGGTGCTTCTAATGCTATAAGGAGAAAATAATAAAAAAAATATATATATCTAAGGAGCATATTGAATAAAATATGGTAATATAAAAAAGAACCTTGTGCTGTGGCTTAACATTACCGTAGGTTTTGTTGTGGAAAACCTGTAAACATAAGCTTCAAACTCTTATATTGTATGCCTGTGCATGATTTATTCCAATTCAATTTCTACGATTTCAATCATATTCAATGTAAATACTGCTATATTTAGTTTTCTTCAAATAGTTTTCTATCTATATTGTATTTTTACTCGGGCCGGGACTCGATTAAAAAAATTAATCTAATTAATTAGAGGCTTTGTAATTAATTAATCGAAATTAATCGCATTTTTAATCACATATAAATATTTGACCTGAGTACAGTGAGAAGCAATTTTTTTCACATGGATTTTAGTATACCATTGAATAATGACTGAATACATAAGCTTAAGCAACAAAACATTGTTTATTTTTTTCAAGGTGGTACTTAACCAAGACCAACAGAAAAGTGCAATTTTTGCCATAAAGTGTAGCAATAGCATATTTAGGAATATAGTACATTTCAGAGATTCAGGTAGCCTATAGGTAGGTAGACCTTCTGTAAACTATAACACTTTGTTTTTTTAGTAAACACAATACTTTCAAGTACATTCATAACATTGGAAACCCTGACTATTAGAAAACATCTCTCTGTTGCTTCAGAGGCCATAACAGACTTTGTTGATTTACCAACAGTTGATTTAAAAAATCTAATCAATTTCAGTCCAACTCTCTCAATAACCTTGGCCAAAACAATAAACAGTTCAACATAAAGTGCCAGTTGCACCAACAACGTAATAAATAGTTCAACATAAAGTGTACCATTTAAAATAAAATAAAAAAAGTGCCAGTGATTGACCTCAATCCCTCCTATTCTTCCAATATCCTGATGAAAAATAAAATCTTTCTGTTGCATAGGCCACTGTTTGATCAACGCGAATTGGGTGTGGGTCCTTGTACTCCGAGTCGGGCACGCTAGCTGCTATAGGTTTTGCATTGAGGTGATACTTGAGGCTTGATGTGCTGCGGTGATATGCAAATTCCTTTTTGCATAATTTGCAAACAACCGTGCTCTTATCGATGCTTCCATCCGTCCGTTTTTTAAAACAAAATGTCCCATCCACGGGGCCAACCAAAGCGGTCTCATCAGCTTCTTCGTTCATGTTTGACTATTGTTCCCTATGGTTTGTTGTTGTCTGAAGTAATGAACGTTAGTTGGTGCTCCAGTATAATCGGTACCCCTGAAACTCATCCAGTGAGAAACGTTCCGCGGTGCAAAAATAAGTGCGATTAAAATGCATTAATTTTTGTGTAATTAATTAATCTTAATTAACGCGTTAAAGTCCCGGCCCTAATTTTTACACCAAATTCCTCATATGTGTTAATCTACCTGGTAATAAACCTGTTTCTGATTCGTAGTTAATAGCTATGGTTGGGCTACATTTGTATATTTTGAGTTGACATGATATGAATCATTTGTTCTTCTCTGTGTTGACAGGTGCTCCAAGGAGTCGGCCCACAAAGACTTTATAAAGGCAGTCGGAGCGTTCGATGTCACCTACGACTCGGAGAAAAAGCAGCTGGTCATTTTGGTTCGTCAAACATTATATTTTTGAAGAACACAACATTGATACAGTCTGTCCCTCTCTGTGACTTCCAACATGATTTAGACATGAAATCCTCTGGTTGTTCTTGCAGTCGGTGAATGAGGTCACAACAAGGCGGGCCAACATGATGAGTGACATGCACTTCAGGAGCCTCCGCACCAAACTGTCACTCATGCTGAGGAACGAAGAGGCCAACCGACAGCTGGAGGTAGAGCTACACACACACACACACACACACACACACACACACACACACACACACCGAGAGAGAGAGAGAGTCTCCGTCTTAAGAGCCTGCCCGAGCCTGCTCCCCTGGATTTAGACACTTAGCGGGGATAAACAAAAGGCACTGGATTTGACTTCCCGGACACGCAATCAGACACACACACACACACACACACACACCCCCACACCCACATAAAAATAATAAGGCTCACGGATTGATGGAACTTCAAATCTTTGTCCTTGTATGAATGTGTATATTTGATCATTTCATAGCTACTTACTCAGCTATAGGGATATAACCGGTCATAATGTGTACATTTGCTTACTTTGGAAGTGAGGGAAAGTTTGAGTTAAAGCCACACAGGAGAAGTCTGGCTCCACTGTTGCGCACTCAGCTAAAATGATGCATACATTAAACTAACATGTTATAATTGTATAACATAATATAGTTCCATGCATTTTATTAAACCAGGTTTCTAATTCAGTTAACACTCCTTTTAAAATGTTCTGAGAAAGTGATTGTACTTTGATTTGAACATCTTATATCCTTACAACCTTACTCAGTTATTTTCTTTTTGTTCATGTTTTTCTTTGACCCTCCGGTTATGTTTCCTTCAGAGTTCCAGACAGCTGGCGTCACGGTTCCACGAACAGTTTGTGGTTCGCGATGATCTCATGGGTCTGGCCATCGGGACTCACGGGGCCAACATTCAGCAGGCGCGCAAAGTCCCCGGGGTCACTAACATAGATCTGGACGAGGAGACGTGCACCTTCCACATATACGGAGAGGTAGGGTGCCTGTATTCAACATAAATACACTGACAAACTGATGGAAATGACCTTCTTAGTAAAGAGTGTAGGGACGCTAAATAATGCTAAATTGTATATCCGTTTTGAAATCTAAGTAATAAACACAAGAAATATCTGTCAAAACACCATAAACCTAAAATCCACGGACCCTTGCCCATTTGTACCCTTTGAGCGTCTATCCTGCTCAAAACGAGACTTCAACTAATTAATAGTCTCAATGAATGAAGACCTGTAAAAATTGTGTTTAACTATATTTATAAAATAGCTTATTCAAGGTTTTTTTAATTGAATCACATTAATGCTTTTAATGGGTTTTTCTTTTTACTCTAAAAAATTACAAATTGTTGTTGATTTGAATATAAATGTACTGTTCTTTAAAAAATGTATTGATATTATTTTTCTTATTTAAAGGTCCCATGACATGGCTATTTCTTCTGATCATAATTCCATTGTTGAGGTCTTCTACAATAGATTTATATTGTGCAATTGTCCAAACTCAACATTGGTTTCTCATACAGCATCTCTGTATAGTATGTGTATTCACTCTCTTTCCTAAACGGCTTGTTGGAGCTCCTGCCCCCCCCCTCCCTGTGAGCCCACTGTGCTCCGATTGGTCAGCTCGCCCACTATGTTCTGATGAGTCCACCACCGTTACAGCGGAACATCAGTGTTTATGTGTTACAATGGCGTTTGTTAGCAACCAGAAAATGACACCAGTAATGACAAACAGATGAGAATGCTGCATGGGGTCTGGGTGTCGTGTTGGCGGAACGTTGCGCGGCTCGCTGCTGTGAGGAGCGGACAGTGTGAGCTGGATTACTGGTGTGGTTTCCTGGTTGCTGCGTGGGGTCTGCGAGACAACGCGGAACTCATCCTGAGCACACACACACTCACAGCCTGAGCTAAGTGTGTGTGGGTGTGGGTGTGTAGCTCCACGGATTGGTCCATTTGGTCTAGAGCAGTGCTTCTCAAAGTGTGGTCCACGGACCACTGGTGGTCCATGAGTGCCCCCTAGTGGTCCGTGAGTATATTGCTAACATTTCACATTTGAAATAAATAAATAAATTTAGGTTTTCCACACTCTCGCGGGAATATCTCCGCAATGGAACGAGGTTAAGTTTAACCTTCGATTGCATGATATAGACAAAAAGTCAGTCCGACCGTCAGTCCGACTGACGGACAACTTCTCACCTCAAAAAAGAAGAAGAAATCTAGACCCCAAAATAATTAAACAAGCGAGTGCCTGTTTTTCCTTGCCAAGGACAGCTTCCTTGAACACAACACGAGCACGTGGTTATGTCTCGTCTGAAAGGAGTGTAGACTTGAGTGCTGACGGAGAGCACCGGAACGCCGCTCCAGCTCTTCAAATATTGCAGTACCCATAAGGAGCCATGCCGCAGTGTTTGCATGGCTGTGTCTTTAGTTGTAAGCACAGTGGCGATCTGTTGTTATTAGCATCTGGTTAGCTAGCTATGCTAACGAATTTAAAGAGCTTTTCTACAACCAGGTGGAAGAGAGCTCTCTCCTGGGAGGCTCAAATAACCTCAGCTCAGTGAGGTTAAGGCACAACTTGATATCATCATTATAGTTATTAATGAAACATTAGAGACTAAATGAAAAACAGGTATAAAATACTATATGACAGTAACAAAAAAGTTGTTAAAAATAAAAGGAATATAGTTTATAGTCGACGTACTGGGCACCTCTGCCCTACAGGGTGTACTTTGAGGGTTTGCGACTCTGCATACAGTTTACATGCAGAACAAGCTACATAACACACGAGGGGACGGGCAATAACCAGAAAAGTCTATGATGGGACCTTTAAAGCTTTGACAATATCCATAATGACAATCATGTAACATAAAACACAAGTTTAACACTAAAAGCCAGCTCAAATGGCCACCAGACCAAAACGTTAATATTTATGGATATTAGGATTTCTCAATTGTATGCTTGTTATTTACTTTAGGACCAAGAGGCTGTCCGTCTGGCGAGGTGTTTCCTGGAGTTCTCTGAAGATGTCATCAAAGTTCCCCGGAACTTAGTAGGTGAGAAAAATCCCTGAACTGAGACAATGAGATCACTAATGTGGTAACTGGATTTAATTTAAGAAGAACTTTTGAACAGTCCTACCACTGTCCCTGATGATGATGATGATGATGATGATGATGATGATGTTGTTGTTTTCTTTTACAGGGAAGGTGATTGGCAAAAACGGCAAGCTGATCCAGGAGGTGGTGGATAAGTCTGGGGTGGTTCGAGTTCGTATTGAGCCAGATAACGACAAGAAGCCCCTAGCAGCAGCGGCCGCAGCAGCAGCAGCGGCAGCTATAGACGAGGTCAGTGAGAACACACCAACACCTCTTCAATGTTAACAATCCTACCTACTATGGTTGTGATTCATTTATCTTTACAACTGATAGCATGCGTAATTTGAGAATAGATCAAATTGAAAAATAAAATGTTTCTTCCTGAACCTCTCTTTCAGGGAATGGTGCCATTTGTATTTGTGGGGACCAAGGAGAGCATCTCCAACGCTACAGTTCTACTGGATTATCACCTTAACTACCTTAAGGTCACTATTTGTGCTTTAACTTAAGATATTATGTGACTGAATTATTTGTATGTTTGAAGAAGCCGGTTCACAACCTGTAGCTACAGCTATAAATGAATTAGAATTTCCCTCTTTCTGTCAGACATCTTTTTATTTCAAGGATGTTCAGTATGCATAGTGAAATTAAATATAGGCATTGCAGCAATAGATATGAAATGATGATTATATATGTATATTCACATTTAAATAACAATAGCCTTCTGACTTTGGAACCATTTATTTCCCAAAAGCCACTTATCTGCTTATTAATATAGAAGTAAACTAGTGCCCCCGGTACAACTGCAGGCTATTAATCCGGTGTAAACAGACTAAATACATTTTTTGTTAAACTATTGTCCAAAGGAAGTGGATCAGCTTCGTCTGGAGCGTCTTCAGATCGACGAGCAGCTGAGACAGATCGGAGGTGGAGGGGGTGGAGGAGGGACGGGGCCCCGGAACCTCAAAGACAAAACCTATGTGTTCGATAACGGCATGGGGATGGGGAGAGGAGCAGCAGGAGCAGGAGGAGGGAAGCCCTACGGAGGAGGGGGAGGAAGAGGTGGCAGAGGGCGGAGAGGAGGAGGAGGAGCGGCCTTCGCCTCAGGTACTACATAGAGTGAATTCAATTATAATTGTCTTCATTGGAAAGTACATGAGATCACCCAGCTAAAGCTATAGTTACCACATGTCAGAGGTCTTCCCCAGGAGGTGACTTTATTTTGAAACAAAACAATTATTCGGAATGTGATTTTCCACGGTAGTTTAGATTAGGTCTGACTGATGTACTCCGTCCCCTCAGGCACCAACTCAGAGGCATCCAACGCGTCTGAGACGGAGTCGGACCACAAAGACGAGCTCAGTGATTGGTCGCTGGCTCCCACCGAAGAGCTGATGACAGGAGGCGGGACCCTGCCCAGACGGACAGATGGGAGGAGGAGACCAGGCGGAGGAGGGCTGCGGGGACGAGGGGGGAGAGGAAGAGCAGGGTATAAAGGTATGCACTCATTCATAAATGATGTCCTTAAGAATGAAAATGAGTTGGATAATGAGAACCCTTTAGACTCCCTTTGCCAATGATTTCTCATTTTGAATGTTTGCTTTTCAAGGAGATCAACAATAAGCAAACATTTCCCCTGACACAAATCATCATGACACAAATAGATCCAACCCAAATGCAAGCTGCTACCTGCCAGCAAGCTGTTTACTGTCACCTCTGAGATGAGACTCAGGAGCTGTCTGCTCTGGTTTAGGTGACGACATGCAGTGGAGCGAGCCCAGGCCTCGTCACATCAGAGACCCCAAGACCAGAGCGCAGGAAGAGACTCTACAGGTAACACACACACACATTCGCCAATCGGCCGGTCCATATTCGATAAAATGATGCGATTGCAAGTGTTATTAGCCGCGTTCACACCGGAGTACTTTTCCCACTTTAGTTCCGATATAGTTCCAAAATGTCGCGTTCACACCAAAAAGAGCCGGAACTAAATAGTTCTGATGAACTAAGTTCTCATGAACCTTTGTGGGAAAAGTACTGCGGTGTGAAAGCGCCTAATGCTCTGAAGTCACCGATCCCTGGTGTTGCTATGTGACCACAAATCCATTTTTTAATTAGCAGGAGGACATCTAGTTACCGTTAGCACACAGGAAGCGGCATACTTCTGGCAATTGCATTTACGTTTAAGAAAGTGTATGTATCAGAAACATTTGTTTGCCATAGGTCAGATTTTCAAATCATAAAAAAATTGCCGGTATTTTGTTGAAGGATCCAAGGCAATTCCGGATCGATCTAGAAACATATAATCCCTGGAGCATTCAATAAAAGCAGCAGTCAAAAAAATAAAAGCCTTCATCATTTCTACTTTAGGGCTCTTAATAATAATAATAACTTTATTTATACAGCACTTTTCCAAACAAAGTGCTTTACATGGACAAGCCGTTCAGGCGACAACAGATCATGAGGTCAACAATCCCCACCCCAGCACGTAAAATACACAACTTCTCGACATTAGCAACAACAACGAAAATAGAAAAAGTCAAGTAGTGGCATTATAGGTTAAAAGCTTTAATACAGAAATGAACTTTAAGAAGTGATTTAAAAGATAAGAGCTTTAAAATGAATCAGTAAAATCAATTCTAAGACAGACAAGTAGCCATCGAAGAGAGATTAAAACGGGTGATGTGGTCTAACCCAATTCCGATGTCCCAGTTCATTAGTGATCATATTTCTGCCCTTGTAGATGTGAAGTGTAGAGTAAGACTGTACTTACTTCCTTTCTCCTACAGATCCGCGTGGATGGTAACAACGAGCGCAGCGTGCAGCACTCCTCAGGGGGGCGAGGAGGAGGAGGAGGAGGGCCTTCCTCCTCCCTGGTTGGCAACATGGCCGGGGGCGAGGGCCCGCCTCGACATCACCACCCGAGACCCATCAGAGACCGAGGGCTGAAGAAGGACAAACAGGACGCTCCGCCGCTGGTGAACGGAGTGTCGTAGATGCACCACTGGAGGACCTTAGCACTTAGACACACACACACACACACACACACACACACACACACACACACACACACACACACACACACACACACACACACACACACACACACACACAGGCAACTCGTTATAAACCATTGTAGAATCTCTCTCGCTTTTTCTTTCTCTGTCTTTGTCATGAATACACATATCTCATCAGCATGGAGTCAGAGTTTACCGTAGTGCAGAGTATCTGCTGGTCCGCTCTGAGGTCTTTAAACGTTTTGCTCCGGTTTGTTCCCGAACTGATCTTCTCTGGACTGACAAGTAAAAGAAACAGTACTTTTTGGACAAAAGGAAAAGAAGAGAAGCTCATCTCTCACGGGGGCATTAACCCCAAACGTGCACCCTTTGCTTGTTTTGTTTTTTAAATCAACTGAATTTATTGGGTGATGAATGAATACTTTTTTACCCACTGCCCTGTTTGGACTTTCTCACACCAGAAAATGAATTAAGGAAGCAATTGGTGAAACAAGAAACAGAATTAGACAGCAGCAGAAATATGGGTTCCTACAATTTGAAAACATATTTTGACTTCACACTTTTTATCGTCGGGGTGATCTGGCAGCACAGTTTCAAAGGGGTGGCTTGACCTCTTTCCCACAGGTTGAGAAATCATTTTTTTGTTTCTCTAAATTTCAAAAAATATACTTTCGAATTCAACCGATACATTTCAAAATACAAAATATTTTTCACTTCTATATTTGGGAAACTGAGCTTTCAGGCGGGGACATGTTTGTAGATGGCAAATTGAATTATTTAAAAAAAATGTGGATAGTCATTTGAACCCTGCACTTGAGCAGGTTAAATCTGTCTGGGATCAGCAGTAGAAAGGAGTTCAGAGTGTCCATATGTAAGGATGAAATGTGAGCAGGTATGCATGGGCAACACATGCTTATCTCATTGTCTGACAGTCATCTGTTTTTTTCCTGTTGCCAAGATGATGTAAAATTCCTTCAGTTTCTTGGACCAAGCATGAATAGTAAGCAAACCAATGGGGGAAACGTAAATCTGAGGCACTTTGATGCAACTTCACTGTAAAAAAAGCTTTCACAGAAGCGAACATACTAACTCCTTAGAGTCTTAAACAGGGTACACAATGTCATGCACTGCTGTTATATTTCAAAAATAATATGGGACAAGGAAATGTGACTGGGCCAACAGTGACTGGGAATCCGCAAAAAAGACATAAGCAATTGTCAGAAATGTACTATACCAAATAACATTTTTAAGTAGTCTGCATGAAGACCAACACGTGTTTATTTCCCAAAACAAGCTCTGTAAGTGACACCAGAAAGCTCACAGTGTAACTAGGAACCTTGATCAACCATCCAAATATGTAATATTAATCATTTTGGAAAATATAAACAGATGAATATTTTTGAGATTCAATGAGCTGTTGAGATGATGCTGCTCTAAAGGCGCCAGAGAAAAACAAAAATATACCACGGAGTCCCGGACTGATGGATGTTCTGTGACAAATAACTACACAGAGTAGCTTCTGCAAATCTCAACACTGATGAAAGGATTCTAAATTCAGCATACATAAACAGGTCAAACCTGTACAATCCCAATCGTTAAGAAACAGTGACTCATGACTAATGCCTTAAGCATGGTCATGAATAATGCTTTGTGGTACAACGAATCCAACAGTCCTGATGCATTCATGTCTCGACTGTTCCCAGTTGTTCCCAGCAGCTCTTGACTCCAGCTTTTTGAATGCTTCTCATTTGGAGCGAGGCGTTGCTTCGCCTCCGGTACTGCGTCTTTCTCGAGAACAGTTAATCCAAACAACTTCTCAACACTTAGCTTTCAGTTATTCTGACCCCACATAAAAAGGCGAAGATACACACTTTCTCGCCATGTTTACAAAAGTGGAACATGTTAATATCCGCTTCCTTGATTTGGATCCACTCTTAATCTCATGGGTTACTTCTTGACACATGTACATCTCTTACAACCCTTAAATGTCATGTAAATCTGGCCTGTAGTTTTTTTTGTAACCCTGCTGACAAACTGAGATGGAAGCGTTTTGGCGTCATCAATAAAATAAACTCACACTTCACACGGCACGTCCTTGGCTAGTCAGAAATACGCTGGCCAAGTAGGAAGCCAATCAGGTTAAAGGTTTTGGAGAAAAATTGAAGGACTAAAAAAAGACTCCTTCAATGTTGGTTAAATACTCATAATCTCATACAAGACTGATGAGTGAGACACTTCACAGGGAGGGCTAATGCTAAACTTAATGTCGTTCCACAAACTTACTTTAAACTCTTGCTTTCAGACAAACCTGATCAGGTTGCAGGACTGTGACATGTAGAGCTCCTGTCACCTGATCACACAGGCTTTTCTTTAATTTATGAAACCTTTGTATCTAACCTTCTTGTTTTGCAGTTAGAAAAAAACCTGTTTGAAGTATTACTGTAGAAGAAACAACGGTTCATTGAGTTATTCCTTGACAAAATAAAAATTTGGTGTAAGTTTTATTCTTTCTGGCCCGCCCCTTACTTTTTGTATTAATCCTTTCACATTTTGTTATCTTCGCTTGGCATCTTTGTAAATATAAGGGCAGAGAAGAGAGACTTGATTGAAACCTTAAAACAACATGCAGAACACATTTCGAATTAGAGTGGATACATTTTCTTATACATGATTTGCGTTTACTTACTTAAGAAAGTAAAGGCTAATGAAGCCAGGAGTAGTGAAGCAAGATTTTTCATCCACAAAACAAGTTTACATACCTGGATTTAGAGCAACGTCTTCCCCACAGTCCTGAAGCTGCCGCCTGTCAGTTTTCCTTCTTAATCTTAGTGCCTTGGATTTATACTCCTCTATTTATGTACATTTGACCCTTTCTAACAATCACCTGACTTTTCTGAATAGATCAAAGATCTTCTACTGTCTGTTTTAACTCGGTGTAACACGCCTTCTGTTTTTTTTTTAGGACAAACAATAGCTGAAAGTGTATTTGTTTGAACGGTGCAGGTGTTCAGACATCAAATAAACTGTTCGGTTTACACCTCAGAGTTCAGACTTCAGAAGTCTTCTGCACGGAAACACTCATCATCAGGGGCGCCGCCAGGGATTTTGGGCCCCATGAAAAGATATTTCATTTGGTTACTTGAACATTTTTTTCTTAATGTTCTAAAATAGTTTTGGCCCCTGTCAGTCGCGGGCCCTTAGAATCGTCCTAACTTTTCACCCCCTTACGGCACCCCCGCTCATCATCTCCATCGGAATAAATAGAAAACAATGTAGGTGGCGTGATGGCCTTTAAAGATCAAAAGTCCAAAACTGTATCCTACATTTAAAATGACTGCAATAACTTAGATGGGCAAGTGTTTGTGGGTTTATGATGAGAAATTGATAGTAGTATTAGCTTGAATTTTAAATTCAAACTGTTAAAATGTGAGAAAGTCACTGATAAACGAAAAAGCAAAGCAAAAAAATGTATCTAAATGTCTTGTGCATTTGTAGGCATCATTATTTCATGAAACATACTGTTATGCATCTCCTCACTATACCTTATAGCCAGCACTATATTACAGTACTCAAAACATCAACTGTGATATTTAGCTTTGGTGTTGCGAATGTTTGAATTTAGCTTTACTGTTTATGGTGCTCTTACATATTTAATTTACATTTACATTTATTTAGATGGGAAGACCTGTCATGCATCATAAGAAGCCAGAAAGTGATTAGCTTAGCTCAGCTAAAGACTGGAAACAGGGTAATGGCTAGGCTGATGGTCCCAAATACAGCTCCCTGCATTTGTAAATCACACTTAAAGGTCCCATGTCATGCTTTTCTGGTTATTACCCGTCCCCTTGTGTGTTATGTAGCTTGTTCTGCATGTAAACGGTCTGCAGAGTCACAAACCTTCAAAGTACACCCTGTAGCGAGTAAAACTCTTAACACAGAAAAGACCTGTCTATGCTGCCCCAGAACACCTCGTTGGAGATTTTTCTTTTTCCATTGTTTACTTCTTGGGTATAGTGACGTAACGGCTATGTGGATTGGTCCAACCAATCCGCGGACTTCCTCAGCCTTGTCTTTTCTCTGCCGCAGCTCGGCGGATTTCTCAGCCTGAACTGAGCGAGACACAGCAAAACTCAGCCTGAACTCAGCCTGAGCACACACACAAACTCAGAGCCTGCGAGTGTATGTGTGTGTGTGCTCAGGCTGAGTTCAGGCTGAGTTTCGCGTTGTCTCGCAGACCCCACGCAGCAACCAGGAAACCACACCAGTAATCCAGCTCACACTGTCCGATCCAGCAGCAAGCCGCGCAACGTCCCGCCGACACGCCATTGTAACCATTGTAACACATAATCACTGATGTTCCGCTGTAACGGTGGTGGACCAATCAGAGCACACTGGGCTCACAGGGAGGGGCTGTTTAGGACAGAGAGTGAATACATAATACTATGCAGAGATGCTGTATGAGAAACCAATGTGATTTTGGAACAATGTAAATATATTCTAGTAGACCTCAACAATGGAATTATGATCAGTAGAAATGGCCATGACATGGGACCTTTAATACCGTGTCATACTTTTAACCTGTAAATTCAAAGGTAATTTGTGTTTTTATAGCATCCAGGCAAAGTGACTTTTCAGCTATCTGTTTTCCTCAGATTACAACATTTATGCTAGGTGTATATGCCAGCTAACTGGCTAATATGTCCAGCATAATTATTTACAGATGGACCAGAGAGTGGAATCAATCTTTTTCATTAAACTTTTGGCAAAACATTAATTAAATGTAATTCCCAAAATGTTAAATAATGTCTCTAAACAATAGCGATTAGGAGCGTCTTCAGTGTGCATAGCAGCACATTACTAACAATAGCTTAGATCAACTTCCAACAAGGCAAACATAAAAGCCATTGTGCCCCATCTTTAATTGAATTATCATGTGGGGAAACGGTTGACTCCTAGCTAGAAAGCTGCAATTGCTCAGAGAAACCTCACCATATTTAGTGTGACATGTGCCTTTAATTGTGGATAGTATAAAAACCTAGACATGTAAATCAGGGATGATGGGACGTTGATAACCAGATGGAAAGATGGCTACTTCCTGCCATGACATTACTTCACCCTTCAGTCGTCTGAGTATTTCTGGGCTTCCTCTAAAGTGTGGGTCCAGGAAAACGGCTTGCTTTTACCACCCAATCATTTTTAAACACTGAAGATGTTGTATCTTTGTACAGACAACGAACATGAGCCTATAGTTTATGACCTGGTTCAACTGATCAGTGAAATGGATGCCGTTACTTTTGTAGAGTTGTGCAGTAATAACCTTGAGTTGCAACTTTGCATTCTTTAGTTCTGTTCCAAAGTCTAAGACGGTTATTTCTTGGATTCAAAGTGGTGTAACCCCGTTATAACTTTATTCCCTATCTCTTTAAGTAACTGAAGGAATGAAAGGAACTAAGAAGATTTCAGAGTTTGAGTCTGGTCTCATTTTTTACCAGAGATCAGTGTACCTTTCTAGTCTTGCAATGCATGTACAACTTAATTATTTTTGTATACTTTTATTAGGTTCGGACATGTGTAAAAAGAAAGTAGAGTTTTCGTCTCAGTTCTCCTTGACCTGAATTCAACTGAAGTAGCTGTTGATGAGTTCTTACAACCATCCCCAAGTTAACGACAAATTAGGAACTTTAACCTTTTGGATAATGTCAAAGGAAACGGTAATAACATGGGTAATGACGAATCAAACTGGCTTTTCTTGATAGAACTTCATCTTTCTTTAAAAGTATTATCGGTGTCAATCTCTCTCTCAATAATCTGTTTGCTTTCACTTGCTGTTCACACTGCAGCCATGTTGCATTTGTATCCAGTAAGCGTTCACTGGAGTGCGTTGACACATGGCTCACGTGAAATTAATCTCTGTATTATCAATAGAGCATCAACTGTAAGGAGTTGCTTTGTATTGTAAAAAAAAGAAGGTGACATACTGTATATAATGATGTCATTATTTGTCTGAGAAAAGATTTGTACTTTTGTTTCAAATGTGCCCTTCTTCTTTTTTTCTGTTTAATATCAGGCAAATGCTAGAGCTCTTGATAATAAACTTAATGATGTGTGAAAAAATAGCAGGGTTGAGTCACACCAAGCTTTCATTAATAATTTGATTGATTGGAGGAAGACTGAAATGGACAATTACCGTATAGCAAAACATAAAAATGGATCCATTATTTGCATTAAAGCTTTAAGTGATACTCACAGGTTAGATTTAGGTTTGAGCTCAACATAAGATTTGATCATTTTGAACTTACAGCAGAACAATCGACATTAAGATACTTATTTTCCCTACTGATTGATGTAAATGACTGAAAATAGCATCTTTAATAGACCAATTTGTTAGATTTTCTTATGTTAAAAATAGTTTAGCTGGACGAGTGTGAACGTTCAGTGATTTTGACCCTAGACCCCCAAAAAACTAAACTCACAGTGGGTTGCTTCCAGATGGTAATCTATCATTTTGGGACTTTAAAACTCTTGCGATGCCCGCTGTGTGCCGACCTGTCCTAAAATGTACCACTCAATGCCTTATCTTAATAATTTGTGAGAGTTTATGAAAATAATTTGCAAATCAAGAGTTACCATCTAGATCTGACGAGTCCAATAATGATAGTCATGGTTTAAAGGAATAGCTAGCCTGGCTCTCCACATTTCTGAAATACTCCTACAATTACTGAAGTACACGTCATGTATCATTTGTTTATTTCGAACACAAACTGAAATGTAAAATCTGCGGTAGTTTCAGCACGCAAAAAACTTGTTGATTGCGTACATATTTCACAAATGAGAAAGTTGTATACATTTCGTCATCTTACTCTGTACTTTCCAAAATGTAACAATGTTTTGTAAAGAAATCACATCTGCTCTACCTAATAGCATGTTTAACACATCAGTTTCGTGAAAAGGTTGCCTTCTACAGTAACTCAAGTATTCTAGGTTAATAATGTTTGATTTATTTTGATGGGATAGAAGAGTCTTGTATTTTAGTCATTCCCTGCTCTCGTCATCTCCGATGTAAAAAGACCCAGCTTATTTTTCATTTTGAATTCATTTCTTTGCTTATGTTGCTGAGCTTCATCCTCCTCATTGGTGTATTTTATTGTTCCTCAATACATTAGGTACAATTACACTTTTTAACTATCGGAATTAAACTAACAAAAGCAGTTTAATGGCTTTTCTTCAGCGCTTTGGATTGATCTTAGGTGGGTTACTAACAAGGTGTAATGGGGCTTGTAGTGGACAATGTAGATTTAATAAGGCAGGTCTGCATGCTGACCAGTAAGAGTCATTGACGGTATGGTGCTAGTTAAGGATTTATCCAATAGGGATTTTATTTACAGTAAGTCTCCATTTGAATCCTGCTGTTTTCCAGTCACCTAACATGGAAACAACTAACTTTAGAGAACGGTTGAGACAATGCAAATGTGCTCATATGGAAAGATGTAGGGGAACAGGAAAA